CAAAGAAATACGGCCAATCAGATGCCAAGCACGAAAGATGTGATCATTGCGCGAGACAGGAAGACAGCGACAGAAGAGGAATAGCATAACCCAATGAAATAAAAGGGGTACGCGACCAATGAGGTGAACCGAAAAACAGAAGACCCACTGAGAAGGCTCGAAGATTAACAATGTTTATTTCTTTTAAATAGGCTACCCTATACTGAATAAACGCCTGTTTTCCGCCCGCCGCCATCGTGACTTTTTGATCGTGTCCGTGTCCTATAACATGGTGACAGAGGAGAAGAAGAAACCGATGCCCAAGATGCAGCTTGCAGTTGGAGGTCAACCGGCGATTCCGTTTCCATCCCCTTTGCAGATGACTGAGAGTTCTCTACCAGACAGTTGGCGGATTTGGAAGAGCAAGTGGGCGGATTTCGCAACACTGACTCAGCTGGACGCCCAGCCGATGAACTACCAACTCGCAATGTTTAGGCACGCTATTGGTGACGATGCAAGGAGGGTTCTTGAAACACTGAAGTTTGGCGACCAGAAGGCGGATCTTTCCGAAGTGATGCGAACATTTGGCGAGTTCTGCGAAGCGCGTGTGAACGAGACCTACCAACGATATCTGTTTTTTGGACGCGATCGTTTACCGGGGGAGTCGTTCGAGAGATACATCACAGAACTGAAGCTCCTGGCACGAACTTGCAATTTCTGTGAATGCATGAAGGAGTCACTGATACGGGATCGCATCGTTATTGGGATAAGGAACGATGAACTCACACGCCGGTTTCTGCGACAAAGGAACTTGTCACTGGAACAGTGTGTCGACATCTGCCTCAGTGAGGCCAGAACAGATCAGCAAGTCGAACATCTGCGCGCCGAAAAGAATACGGAGTTGTTTGCAGTATCCCGAACCGAGGGACGTATCCCGAGATCACCCGATGAACAGGTAACTGATTGCCAGTTTTGCGGCCGCAGGCACCAAAAGAAGAAGGAGAGTTGTCCAGCGTGGGGTCGGACGTGCATGAAGTGCTTCAAGAAAGGTCACTTTGCTCGTTGCTGTAGATCATACAGAGTGAGTTCGGTTGCCGACGATGCCAGAGAACGGGAACAAGAATTGTTGATAAACAACATGGATGGCCGGGCGAAAAGCAAGTGTGTGTTTGCAACACTTTTGGTTCGAGGACAACCGGTACGTTTTCAGCTAGACTCCGGGGCTGCGGTTAACATCTTGCCTGAAAAATACTGCAAGGGGGTGCGATGTGAAGAAACTCAAAAGTGTCTCAAAATGTGGAACGGCTCAAGGCTACAACCGAAGGGCATCGTCATTTTGGAGACGGTCAATCCAAAGGAAGGAACAGAACACCCGCTGGAGTTCCTGATTGTTTCGGAAGACCTTATGCCCATTCTGGGCATTGATTCTATCCAGCGTTTTGGTTTTGTTTCTTTTAACCACGAACGTTTTGTTCATGCGTGTGACATCGAGGCAGATATTTTTGATAAGTACTCGAGTGTGTTTGATGGCGGAGTAGGGATGTTCGAGGGACCCGCTCACTTATCGTTAAACGAGCTAGCAACACCGGTGGCGTTACCAGCTAGGAAGGTGCCAATTGCTTTGCGCGAAAAATTCTTGAGTGAGTTGCAACGTCTCTGTAGTCTGGGAGTGATAGCTAAAGTTGACGAACCGACTGATTGGGTCAGCCAGATGGCGATTATTACAAAAAAGTCAGGCGAGCTGCGTATATGCATTGATCCGAAACCGCTTAATGCCGCACTCAAAAGAGAGTATTTTACGTTACCGACACTAGACGACATGCTGCCGGTGTTATGCAATTCTAAAGTGTTCACGAAAGTCGACCTCGCCTCTGCGTTCTGGCACGTATCACTAGATGATGAGTCAAGCTACATGACAACTTTTGGAACACCATTCGGGCGGTACCGTTGGCTTCGTTTACCGTTTGGACTGAAAGTGTCTAGCGAAATCTTCCAGAAGCGACTAATGCAAGCGTTGGACGATCTACAGGGAGTATTCTGCGTAGCGGACGATGTGTTGGTTTTTGGCGCTACTCGTGAAGAGCACGATCAGAACCTTCGTAGCTTTTTACAACGTTGTGTTGAAAGAAACATCAAACTGAAACGTGAAAAGATCGAACTACGCAGTACAGAGGTTATATTTCATGGGCATGTGTTAAGCGCGGAAGGGCTAAAATCAGACCCTGAGAAAGTAAGAGCTATAAGAGATATGCCGTCCCCCACAGATGTGAAAGCGGTTGGCAGGCTAAATGGGATGATCAATTATCTGAGCCGGTTCCTGCCCAAGTTAGCTGATGTTATGACACCGATCAGAAAGTTGACTCATAAGGGCGAAAGCTGGCACTGGGGTGCAGAACAAGAAGAGGCCTTCCAGGCAATCAAGGAACTCATCACTAACGCACCTGTTCTCGCTTACTATAATCCGCAACTCTCTCTCGAGATTCAATGCGACAGCAGTCAATTTGGTATCGGGGCCGTACTCATGCAGAATGGGAAACCCATCGATTTTCGCAGTAGGACGTTGACAGAGACCGAGCGTCGTTACGCCCAGATAGAAAAAGAGATGCTTGCAGTTGTTTACGCCGTCGAACGTTTTAATGACTATACATTTGGCCGGAAGACTACAGTGTTTACAGATCACAAACCGTTGGTTCCCATCGCCAACAAGCCGCTACATGTTGTTCCCCGCCGCTTACAGAGAATGCTTATTCGCCTTCAAAAGTACGACCTAGAGATTGTGTATCGACCTGGTCCCGAAATGCATATCGCAGACACGTTATCCAGGGCATATCTGTCAGACACACCAGAGGAAGACGAAGATTCAGATTTCGTTCACGCAGCACAACTAGTAGCTGTTACCGAGGAACGATTGAAACAGCTCCAGCAGTGCACAGAGGAAGATGAGTTATGCAAGCTACTGAGGCAGACAATACTAAGTGGCTGGCCCAAGAACGAGAAAGATCTACCAGGAGTGCTGACCCCGTTTTTCCATTTTCGTGATGAACTCATTGTCCAAGACGGGTTGATATTCAAAGGCAATAGGATACTAATCCCCAAAGCGTTGCAGCGCGCGATGACAGAGCTTGTCCACTATGCACATTTGGGAGTCAACAATTGTGTGGCCAGAGCGCGAGAGCTAATGTTTTGGCCGGGAATGACCAGCCAAATACGAGATTACATCTCAAATTGTCTGGCATGCCGAACACACGACGTACGTCAGTCAAAAGAACCGATGATGCTCCGTGACGTTCCGGACAGGCCCTGGCAGATGGTTGCAGTAGACATCTTCATCCACGATGGAAAAAGTTACTTAGTGTTGGTTGATTATTTCAGTGACTACTTTGAAATCGATGCTCTAGCTACGACCAGTACAGACGCAGTGGTGAATAAGCTACGATGTCAATTTGCTCGTCACGGAATACCGGAGGTAGTAGTCTCGGACAACGGGCCGCAGTTCGTTAGCGCAGAGTTCCGAGAGTTCAGCAGAAAGTGGGATTTCCATCACCGGCTTACTAGCCCATATCACAGCCAATCAAATGGAAAGGCCGAGTCGGCGGTAAAAGAAGCAAAGAAGGTGCTTACCAAAGCTAAGGAGACTCAGGAGGACCCTTATATTATGTTGCTGGAACGCAGAAACACGCCATCAACAGAAATTGGGGCAAGTCCGGTGCAGCGACTCTTCAGCCGGAGGACAAGAACGTTGATACCAACTGCGTCAAATCTGCTAACACCTGAAGTATCACCAACGACCTCGATACACGAGCGGTTACGAAACAGAATGCTTAGGCAAAAGAGATACTACGATCGCGGGGCGAGAAAACTCCAACCTCTAGCATTGGGAGAAGAAGTGTGGGTGCAACCAGTACCAGGATCAGAGGGACACTGGAGGAAGGGAGTTATTCAGAGCCGCAAGGGAGAGAGAAGCTACGAAGTGAAGGTTGGGGACACTACAATTAAGCGGAACCGAGTACAGGTCCGGAAAGCAGGTTGTACGCGTGTTACCCAGATGGAAAACGGACAACAGCAGCCAAGACAGATACGCGTCACCCCTGCAGAAGGAAGGAAACTCACACGCAGCGGAAAGCAGTATGGGACATACTGCGGCGCAATCCTAACAAAACAAAAGGAAAAGGATGTAACGGGGTTTAGGAAACCGGTCCAGTATGCTCGACCTTACCACCTAAGCGCAGGTTACCGGAGTCAGCAGATCAGTTCGATCGAGAGAACGCGTGAACCCACCGGGAGACACAGCGATGGCTGGACAGCGAATCACGAGTGGCACACGTATCCAGAAACCGACAAACCGGATTGGACAATAGAACATAGAGGGCGCACTGGCAACTCGAGAATCGCTATTAACGGCAAGTTTCAGAGTGCAAAGCCAAATATGAGCGGACCAAAGAAATACGGCCAATCAGATGCCAAGCACGAAAGATGTGATCATTGCGCGAGACAGGAAGACAGCGACAGAAGAGGAAT